GGAATACACAAGAATTTAGCTGTAATATTGTAATCAGGGAAATGCCAGCAGATTTTTTTCCAGTTACATACGATACAATACATATGATCCTGGGGACAATGTACAAAACTCAACTCTCAGAAAACAAACTTTTAAAATATATAATAACTTTAGAAAAACAACTTTTTGGATGTACTGTATACGTTCCTTCATATATAGATCTACAGTACAAAAGTTTTAAACCATTACTTTTAGTTTCACTTGAACACAAGGGTTGAATGCGCAATTATGCAATATCCTGCAAGTTAACAAAGAATACACAAGTATGTCACATATTACAAAGCTTCAGTTCTGCTTCAGAGACTATACTAGTTTGCAATAAAGCAACTTATGTAGAAGTCAAAGTTAATTAAGAACAAGACACATATAACTTTACACTTATGTAAGAATACATATATGAATATTAAAATGAGAAGTGGACTGACAGTGTCTCACATCTGTATAGTAATAGATTTGTATTGAAAAGTGCAGTTTGAGTTGTTAAAGTAGAATATTTGTGGGCTTTGTATTGATTTGCCTTTGGGGAAAAAGTCTTCCATCCATGATGGTAGCAGAGGCAGATACACCACAACTCTTTCTAGATGTCTCAATTTCCTGTTGATTCTATTGCAAGCATTACACACTGCCAAGCGTTCCTGTTTGTGTGTGTGTGTGTGTGTGTGTGTGTGTGTGTGTGTGTGTGTGTGTGTGTGTGTGTGTGTGTGTGTGTGTGTGTGTGTGTGTGTGTGTGTGTGTGTGTGTGTGTGTGTGTGTGTGTGTGTGTGTGTGTGTGTGTGCATGTGCAACCAATAGAGACCTAGGGCGCATTTAAAAAAAGGAAGTAGACAGTTGGACTGCAGCCTGTATCACAGAGGCAGATTTGAGATTGTTCACTGAGATAGACAACATATCACTGATTCTTTGCACTCTGTTGTCTGGGTGCCTGTGGCTAACATGATTCCAATTTCATGAACTAATGGAGTCCGAAAAAGACAATGACAATCATACTTATTGTGTATGCACTATGTTTTAGAAGTAAGGCTGGACCATGTGTACAGATGCTAACATTTTCATTTACTCTTCTATCCTGCCTTATATATGTCCTATATTACATTATATGTCTACTGTTTTATTCAAAACCTAATCAAATGTTTTATCATAAAAGTTCCTTTTTATGCGTTTACCACAGTGGCCTCCTTCAGGTTGCCTGGGGGAGTTGAGCCAGGTCGTAGAAAGAGTCATTTTCGGCACTTTCAGATTGATTTCGCTGTGATTGCCCAGTGGGTTTAATTTGGTCTTTGGGTAGTTGAGCAACAGAATACAGCACGTTGTCTCTGCTCTCTGCACACGCACCCCTTGAATTCGTCTCACACCTAGCAGCTGCTGATCCGATGTCTTGGAGGAAGGAATGATTAGCATAGAGACTGTCTGGGTCAGTCACATCTTCATTTCTGATTTCATCATATTCAGCTTCCTTGAATTAGAAACAGTGAGAAAAAAACAGTAAAACAGAGATCTGATGTCAGTAAATCAGATTTACAACATTCTTTACACCACTAACATAGTTGGTTGTTCACATAACAAATACCCAGTACAAGTCTGATCTCTTCAGGGGGTTATTCCGGAAATCCAGAAATAATCAAGGAAAAGCAAAGCAACACTAACTATGCTATGGCAATGAACACCATTATTGTATGTTCTAATGGCAATTTACAATATTGGCTCCACAAAAATGTGGCAGACCATTTCACATGATATATTTTATACTTAATTTCAAGCTACTGTACACCATTTTTTGTATCTATATTGTACACTATGTATATATGTTCAGTAGATATAAATCTAATATATTCTGTATATTTTATGATGTTTAGATACTCCTCTGAATATATGTCTTTTTTACTGAGAATGTGTATATATTGTTTTTAAATTTGTAATTTCTATATTTATTTTATTTTCATTTTATTCTATTTTTTAAGTAATTTTGTAATTTCTGTAAATTGACTTTCAAAATGCTGCTGACCTGATCTAAATACTAGTGGAAAAAGTTGGCTTTTACATTTTACATTTAACACATGATAGTGCTGTGATTACCAAATCATAAACAGTGTTTCTTGCTTAAAACAGAGCGAGTCTTCACATTTGTTCTGCCATACTTTTCATGTGTGCATGTTGTATACAGAATGCTGATCAAGAACATTCCATAAAATGGTTTCCTCAGACTGCTGATTGTGTGTGACAGGAGAATACTGTTTTTAGCTTTGTGAAAGATTGATTATACCAGTATAATCCTAACAACAGCCAATGATACGTATAATAATATAAATAGTGTTTAATAATATTAGGAAGGACATACAAATGTAACAATACATATTCAACTTCTTCTCTATATTCATTTTCTAATTTTCCTAAAATCGTTCAATTTTAATTTAGAGCAGTTCTTTTGATAGATTTCATTTTGGATACAGTCGCTTTAAACAACATAATGATGCAGCCTGATTTCCTGTCTGACTTGTATTAAGTGGTTGCTAAAGTCTGCTGGGGTTGAACAGATGTGGGCTTTAAGTGTCAGACCTCACAGTTTAAAACCGCTTGTCTGGTTTAAACTCCTACATGTGCCTCAAAAGGTGCATAAAGAGAACCTCGCAGAAGATATTTTGTCCACCCGTATCTTCTGTATTACTACACTTTCCCTACAGTAGGGAAAGGAAAGGGGAGTGTTGTACCAAGGATCCTTGTCTTTTAATTAAAAGACCTGATGTTCTAGTTGTTCTTTTTGTTAATAATGATGAGCTCAGTAGCGAAAAAGATGTCCTAAACGGCATTAAAGTAAGAAATATGAAATAAATGCCAAAGTTGAGACAGAAAAGCCTGAGCCTCACACAAGGGAATGTATTTGTAAGTACTTAAAGCAAGCTGTTTCTGTGGGAAAGCAAACTGAAACCATCTGCCCTCAAAATCTCACCTCTCGTGCGTCTTCCTGTGGCATTACAGCTGTTGACACAACTTCTGCAAACACATAGGACAACATTTGTTAATATGTCTTGTGGAGGCTTTACTGGTGCAGTTACATATATACAATATGTGTTGGTGTGTGGGTCTTACTCCGTTGTCTCATCATCATCTTGCTCATAAGCTTCAGTAACACCATCAGTATGGTTATTATGAGAATGACACCTAAGATCAAATATGGTATGCTCCCTGAACAAAATCAGAGAAAGAGGAAGATTAATAGGACAAATATGTATATGTTCACTCATCAAACAAGCGTATGTAATATTCACCACCTTGATGTACTGGACCGATTATTTTAAATACAAATTGCAACTTCATTTAACATTAAAATCTCCATATACAAGTAATAGGTATATGTATTTGTGTAAGTTCAAATAAGTGCATTTTATTACCTGCTCCTTGTGTTGCCGTAGTACTCAGGGTTGTGTTTGATGCAGACACAACAGTGATATTATCATAGCTGTTTGAAGAGAGAGTGGAGATGTTTGACATTGCTGATGACAGAGTTGTAAATGTGTCCACTGTTTCTGGAGTTTTCTTGGGAATGGAAGGCTCTGCTGAAAATAAGAGACACATTATATATTAGTACAGCAACTATTTGAATAGTTATTACTTTTTATAAAGAAGTGTTTGTAAACTAAAGAACATCAACTTACCCTCTGTAACCTTAAGAATCACCTTTATATATGTATCAGGACCTTTAATCTCCACTCCACAATAATATGTATTAGAGTCAGACTTTTCAAGATTAGTGAAGGTCACAAATAAATCCTTTCCTCTGGTAAATATGCGCATTCTGTTTCCTTGTGTACTCTTTCCAGGTGCTGCTTTGATGATGATGTGTTTGTCTTCGGTGCATGGACTTTTACAAAAGTACTTATCATTAGATGTAACATCAATCCAAGAGTCCCAGTCTGAGCATTTGAATGACACTCTTTCCCCAACACGGCCTTTTATGTTGAGAATCTTCATCTCCACAAAACTCAGAGCTACAAGTGGAAATAAAGGAAACATTATTAACATCATTATTATTTTAGTGTCACTGCTCAAATGAAATAAAGTTTGCACATTGATTAAAGTGCTTTGAACACCAAGAAAAGCGCTATATAAATAACATGTATTATTATTATTGTATTGATTGAATCTACTATTTGTATTGGCAACATTTAACTTGTTTAAAGATAACTACTCAATTATCTATTTAGCAAACAAACAAAAAATCATACAGCATACAAATTAAAAATAAACTCACCAGAAAGAAGACAAGAGTACATGTAGATTTTTATCATGGTGAAAATGATGATGAAGAACATCCCGTACAGCCCGTAGAGTATTTTAAAGCATGTAACTACCACTTCCTCCGACCCTTAAAGCTCCACCCTTTCCTCCACCCACACACACACACACACACACACACACACACACACACACACACACACACACACACACACACACACACACACACACACACACACACACACACACACACACACACATACACACACACACACACACACACACACACACACACACACACACACACACACACACACACACACACACACACACGCGCACACACGCACGCACGCACGCACACACACACACACAAAAATCTATGAGTCATTGCTTGTATCCACCGCAACTGACTTCAGAGCAGCATTGAACCTGTATAATGACAATAAAGGATTCTATTCTAGGGAGTCTAATAAAGATGTGGTATTGGAAAATAGAAAAATAAATATGTGTAAAAAGAATCTCACAGCTTTGTGGAGTAATGTGATTGATACACATCTCACTCTGCGTGAAAATATCAACTGCTGTATTTTATAGGATAAACAAACAATGATATACAAGAAAAAACTAATATAATTAACAGACAATGCAAACTGACTTATTCTCATGACGTCAAGTCTCTTTGTAAAAATAACCCCAATTCAATAAGATAAATAGCTTCAGGACAGAGACGAGATGTTTATTTTTATTTATATTACATATAATAAAGATTCAATCATTATCTTCTGCTGCAGTGATGATCTAAAGTTGTGGTAAAGCTGTGTGGAGAGCAGACCGCTCTGTGAGAGAGCTGTAGACTTGGTCTTCATCCATTGTCAACGGGTGGAGGGATTGGTAGACTTCATCAGGCCGTGCACTCTGTGGGAACATAACATTTATCACTTATGTTGATAGATGTTAACCATGTTAAACAGAGGAAAAGAAAATGTGTTTCTTCCAGATTGAAATGAAATTGGAAAACAGTGCATTGCTGCAACACATCTTCAGAGAGCTAACTCCAACTTGTATTTGCAAAAATACTTTAAATAGAAGTAAGGTTAGTAGCTTCTGAGCAAAGTGGAAACGAGAAGTAACGTAATGACCAAAAGCATGATATGGTTATGATAATTTACAAAGCAGATGCAACAACAGCTCAAGTTTCAACAGGAACAAGTGTTTTTGTTTTTCCTCTCTGCAAACTCTCATGAATACAAGTACTACACAATTATTTTAAAAAGTAAATGTTTCTGCTCAGACTTTACAATGTAACTATCTTTGTATTGTGAAACCATGTTTCTTTTAGCCAGAATACAATTATAATTTTTATCTGATCAACTATTGGATGGATTTCCATGACATTTGGTATAGAGTTATATACTGAAAAACTGAAACGTTGACTTTAATTAAATGTATTAAGTGAACAGATATCACATAACTGTATTAGGTTAGTTGAAAGCAGTGATATTAAGTTACTCAATTGCAGTCTTTTCAGAAATATGTATCGATGTCGCCTGTTGTAACCAAGTCAGCAAATTAATTAAAACAAAATAGTATATGTTATATTTTGTTAGTATTTGTGATTTTTTTGTGTTACTTGCTCCAGAGATCAAGAAGTTCTTAACAGGATAAAAAAATAAAAAAATAGAACCAGCTAAGGAAGTGTTGAAGCATGTCATGCTTGAGAGAACCAACAGAAACAGACATGACAATATTTTAAGATTCAAAATGTCAGTAACTCACATTGTGTATGCCCTCGTGTGGGGAGCTGACATCAAGGCCTCCTGAGAAAAATGCATTTGTTTATAAAACTGACCAAAATAAAGATCATTTGATGTTAAGTAATTCTGTCTTTATAGAGCAGTTGCTTTCCTGGATACGTGCTTACACTTACTGCAGTGCATCCTATGTTTTTATATTTAATTTATATTGTCCGCTATTTAGAGGTCAACATATTATTGTTCTCATACTATGAACCAGCATTGAAGACAGTTGGTTTGTGTGTCTTACTCTGTCCTCTCTTCATCAGCTTCCTGGTAAGCAGCAGCACGACCATCACTAAGGCGAATATACAAATAAGACCAGCAATTAAATACGGTACACTTCCTGCCAAAGAGAGGAAAGGAGAAGGATTAAGAGATTGATCAAATGCAGTCCACTCCTCACGATCACTATGGTCCATGTAAATGAATAATACTATAACATCACATTTAACTGATAAGGCATCAAGACGTAAGGGCAAGCACCAAGTTGGAAAAGAGAGACTTTATGAAATGGATGGGTTTCTGAACAGCTTGAGGATCATTCAACAATAGCATTGAAAATATTATGTATATACTCAGCATTACAATTTTATCAAATGTACACAAGTGCACTTCTTACCGGCTGCTTGTGTTGCTGGTGCAGAAGGTGTCGGAGTACTCAGGGTTGTGTTTGATGCAGACACATCAGAGCTGTTTGACACTGCTGATGACAGAGTTGTAAATGTGTCCACTGTTTCTGGAGTTTTCTTGGTAATGGAAGGCTCTGCTGAAAATAAGAGACACATTATATATTAGTACAGCAACTATTTGAATAGTTATTACTTTTTATAAAGAAGTGTTTGTAAACTAAAGAACATCAACTTACCCTCTGTAACCTTAAGAATCACCTTTATATATGCATCAGGACCTGTAATCTCCACTCCACAATAATATGTATTAGAGTCAGACTTTTCGAGATTAGTGAAGGTCACAAATAAATCCTTTCCTCTGGTAATTATGCGCATTCTGTTTCCTTGTGTACTCTTTCCAGGTGCTGCTTTGATGATGATGTGTTTGTCTTTGGTGCATGGACTTTTACAAAAGTACTTATCATTAGATGTAACATCAATCAAAGTGTCCCAGTCTGAGCATTTGAATGACACTCTTTCCCCAACACAGCCTTTTATGTTGAGAATCTTCATCTCCACAAAACTCAGAGCTACAAGTGGAAATAAAGGAAACATTATTAACATCATTTTTATTTTAGTGTCACTGCTCAAATGAAATAAAGTTTGCACATTGATTAAAGTGCTTTGAACACCAAGAAAAGCGCTATATAAATAACATGTATTATTATTATTGTATTGATTGAATGTACTATTTGTATTAGCAACATTTAACTTGTTTAAAGATAACTACTAAATTATCTATTTAGCAAACAAACAAAAAAGCATACAGCATACAAATTAAAAATAAACTCACCAGAAAGAAGACAAGAGTACATGTAGATTTTTATCATGGTGAAAATGATGATGAAGAACATCCCGTACAGCCCGTAGAGTATTTTAAAGCATGTAACTACCACTTCCTCCAACCCTTAAAGCTCCACCCTTTCCTACACACACGCACACACACACACACACACACACACACACACACACACACACACACACACACACACACACACACACACACACACACACACACACACACACACACACACACACACACACACACACACACACACACACACACACACACCACACACACACACACACACACACACACACACACACACACACACACACACACACACACACACACAGACTGTGAGGGTGTATAAGATAGTATAAAACAGGGGTGGAGGGCAGGATTCGTCCCCTCAAAACCACAGTGTTATTGTCCTCTAGACTCTCACTGTCAGCCTGTCAACATGTCAAGATGTACACACACACAGATTTCAGTCTCTAACAGGATCTCTGTTTTATAAAATTAAAAAAGAAAAAAGTTTTTGTACAAATAAGTAATTGATTTAAAATTGATATAACAACTTTGAGAAAAAACATCACACTCCTCACGCCTATCATTTTAACCAGAAACACAAGAAGATATCATTTCTTAATTTCTAAAATGTACTTTGAGGGGGCCCCTCACGGTGTGCTGAGCCCCCTTAATGTGACGGGTTTAAATCATGTTTGACCAAATGGCATAGAGTTGCAATGCAAGTGTAACAAATAACCCTACTGGTGTGTTGCTTACTGTAAACAAATCCAAATCTACAGTATGAGCCATTGCTTGTATCCACCACAACTGACTTCCGAGCAGTATTATGGGAAATCAAAAAGAAAATGTTGTTAAAAAAGATGTGACAGCTTTGTGGATGTGTGGTGCGATTGATACACATCATCATGACTGACCTCCGCGGGAACATAACATTTGCTTATTAAGATAAGTAAAAAACTATATACAACAAAGAAGTAATATAATTCACAGACAGTGCAAACTGTCTCTCTTTGCAAAAATAACCCAAATTCAATAAGATAAATAGCTTCAGGACAGAGGTGAAATGTTTGTTTTTATTTATCTCACATATATTACAGATTCAATCATTATCTTCTGCTGCAGTGATCATCTAACGCTGTGGTAAAGCTGTGTGGAGAGCAGACCGCTCTGTGAGAGAGCTGTAGACTTGGTCCTTTTTTTCTTTTTTTTTTAATCATTTATTTGAAGAGGGACAATGCATATTGATGAACATTAAAAACAAATAATGCTTCAAAACGTAAACATGCCGGATTTTAGCTTTGAGCTGATTTCCATCCGTAGTCCCTCACATACAACATTTAAGAACCTGACATTTATATACATAGCTAAAATAAATACATGATATGCAGAAAGAGCATGTGCAGCATCCATTGTCAACGGGTGGAGGGATTGGTAGACTTCATCAGGCCGTGCACTCTGTGGGAACATAACATTTATGACTTATGTTGATAGATGTTAACCATGTTAAACAGAGGAAAAGAAAATGTGTTTCTTTCAGATTGAAATGAAATTGGAAAACAGTGCATTGCTGCAACACATCTTCAGAGAGCTAACTCCAACTTGTATTTGCAAAAAGACTTTAAATAGAAGTAAGGTTAGTAGCTTCTAAGCAAAGTGGAAATGAGAAGTAACGTAATGACCAAAAGCATGATATGGTTATGAAGCAGATGCAACATGATAAAAATATCATGAATACAAATATGACATGATGTCATAAAGCCCATGTTTCTGTTCAGACTTGATGATGTTACAATATGTTGACGTGTGAAACCAACCATCTTCTTAACCAGAATAAAATGTTTAGTTGTACTGATTAACTATTGGATGGGTTTCCATGACATCTGGTGTAGAGATAGATAAATAATTCTATGATTTCTGCAGAAATAAATAATAACCTTAAAAGAGCAGTGACTACTTGACAGTCACTTATTTAAGGAATTAATGACGATTGTACCCTTTTTCTGCCTAAAGACAAAGCCGGATGTCACCGGGTGTTAGTGGGTTTAAGTATGGTTCAGTTGTCAAAGTGCTAAGTTGGTGTGACAATAACGCAGACTTCCTTTTTGTTGACTTGGTTCAGGCATTTATATCCTTAACAGCCTGATCAGGCATTTAATACCCGAAAACAGCAAGAGAATACTATTTCAAAATAGATAATAAAATAATTTAAACATAATGCGCTTGTCATCAATGGGACTACAAGTAACATTTTAATGTGCAACTGTGTTTTAGAAAAGAAAAATCTTGTAAAACAGTTAACTTGAAAAAGAAAATACATTAAAAGACACATACTGTATGCATAACACATTGGGCAAGAAGAGTACATGATGACTAGAGAGGGCCCACATTTTCTTTTATTAATGGGGAATGTTAAGAAAATATTATTCTGCATATTAATTAATATCTGGATCCGCATCTGGATTTATTTTCTTTCTTTCTTTGTGTCTTTCTTTACTGTGGTAGTGTATACAAAATAAGTAAAATAATTGTTGTCTGTAAATATTCTGACTGTATTTGTCGGCCTTGCTTGTAGAGGATCAGTGAAAAAACTCACATGATGGTGCAATAATTTTTCTTAGAAGCAATAATGCAATGAGTCCCATCACAAGTGACTTCTGTAATGCGGCTACGGCAAACATTTGAATATGAAATGTGAAAATCCAAGCAGCAAAAGATGTCAATGATGAAAGAATAGCTAACAACAACACCAGATTTAATTAAGTTGGTACATATTTTGTTATGAATCACTTTTTGAAAATGTATGTAACTTTGAGATTTGTCTCAGTGTATGACCTTAACCATATCTCTTCAGTCTGCAAAGGTATGTGTTAAAGTCTGGTATTTGGAGACAAGTGAGGGTCACAGATTACCCTCTCATATGCATAGTCGGTTTCTATGGTTACTTTTTTCAAATGCCCATCCAATGTTGATATTTATGTCTCTTTTGCAAGTGAGATGCAATGTGAGATGTGACTTTCGTTGTGGTACTTACAATGGAAATGTAACTGCATCAGTGTTACACACTGCTTCCTCATTTCAACTGACATGATTCACTTCTCTTTTTTATTTTCTCACATATAGATTCATCTTTCTGAAGAAATATGAGGTGCCCACAAAGGGTATTTTTTGTCTACTGCGATATAACATTTACTCTTGTTTCTAGGGTAACTTATTTGTATGCACATAAGACAAATACTATTCTGCTTTGTTTCTTATGTTGATCCTGCTGGTAATGCAGTGACATACAAAGAGAAAGACTTCACTCACATGCGCTCTGTCCTGACTTCCTCTGTTCAGAGAAGCTGACTTTGTTTTCTATCTTTTTCATCATGTGGTTGCTATAAACATATAGCACTTATACTGTTACATCCTGTACATGCATCAGGAGATTACACAGATCATTTTATTTCCACTCTAAATCACTGAACACTGATCATCATATTCAGTACAAGGCCTGATTTGTACAAGATTGCATTTTTTCAAACCAAAATACTGATTTAAATAATTCTCTCTCTGTATAATCAAAATAAATCAGTATTCGAGTCATGTTAACAGCATTATTTCTAGAATACGTTTGTGTGAGAATATTTCTTTTTCTACAAGTTGCATTATTGCTCACTTGCTAACATCAAACAAGGTCAATCAAACATTAAATAATGCAGAACTGTAACAAAAAAACAAAACGCTGTTGAGGCAGTGTGTTCACACCTACCTCATAGAGCAACAAGTCCTCCAACTCATACGACCAAATAGGTCGATTGTTCAAGCCCTTATTACGACCAAATAGGTCGATTGTTCAAGCGCTTATTACGACCTATAATCACGTTTTAAAGTTTTCGACCTCCCGTTGAATGCAAACGCTACCGAGGGTCGTATATTCACAAATAACCCTCTCTGGAAAATCCTAAATTGTACGATAGTTTGGCCATTAAAATGCTTTTTGATTAGAAGAAGTGTATATTGTACTTTTAGAATCTACGTCCAGTGGATGTGTAGGATCTATAGTTTGATAGATATTACGAAGATGATTTGAGGTCTCGCCAGGAGAATGTGTATATGCGGCAGCGTCCATGTAAAGTTAGCGTCAACTCTCACGGGGTGAAAACAGTATTTCCGGTCTCGAAGTTTTCATAATAAAACAGTATTCCCCTCACTGTCAAATGATTTCACAGTGATATCTGCATTACTCATCCACTAAAAAACATCAGTTTATTTGTTAATTACACGACATTAATTGTTTAAATTGTTTAAATTGTGTACACTGCTTTTGTGTTTTTCCCATAGGTTTTTCCCTTTCGATTCTGAGAGACACGTTTCTTTTTTCAGAGGTTTTGATAGGCTAAAAAATCGAACTACCCATAATCCTCAGCTACCGTTCAAGCTTGGTGATTGGATGCTTTAGCCGCAATGCACGTTGGGATATGGTTTTTATGCGATATGAAATCCGAAAACATTTTTTAAAAATACTTTTTTCCGAGTGTGCTTGCTTTTCTCTTTGAAAGTCATCACATAATGGCATTGTAATACACGGTTCGGCTGCATTAAATATTACACATCTGCCGTAGTTCTCTATTTATAGAGCCCTGATTAGAAGACTTCTGGACACACTGGAAGAACTGCCACCGAAACTGAATACGTGACGTGGATCATAAATATATCAGCAATTAAACAACATCTTACATTTATTTTCTCACAATACTTCTCCTTGCAGTATCAACACTAATTCGGCTGACTTTTATATTTGATCCAATTGGTAAATAGGCTGTATTATTTACACCAGTGGTTCCCAAACGGTGTGCCGCGGCACACTGGTGTGCCGTGAGGTAAGTCCGGGTGTGCCGTGGGATTTTGTGACAACCATACATTATTATTGCAATATACAACTACACAAAAATAATTATTTTTTAATTTACTATATCAGTACTTTGTATGCACTCATTTCATAATACAGAGGCAAACTCTATACCTAAAAACAATTCTTTAAAAAAAAATCCTCACAGAACCCC